AAATTGTTGAATTTATCTTTTTAAGTGCTATAATTAAATCAATGTTGCATTTTTTTTTATGTAAGAAGAAATTAAAGAGGTTTGGTTAGTTGTATAGTTTCCTCTCATGGAAAATTAATTTAAAACAATCCTTTAGGCTCAAAATTCATTCGAACCTTGCTTCACTAAAAAAATATATTTTTATATATGATTTTTTAAAATGTATCTATATTGAATGTTGAATCTTATTGATTTTTTCATGTTTTTAGTTTTAAATTTTAAGCATAACTTTTTTTTCATATTAAAAACACTATAAGTGACTATAATTTCTTTTTGCTCCTTTAATTAATTAATTGATTGTGCTAATAAAATAGAAGGAAAGATAAACAAATTTCAATTCTTACTTTTTGTTGCTAACATTTTTCATTAAACCAATTCACCCCATACAAATTACAAATCAATAATTTTTATATTACTCTCTATCAATAATAGGAGGCTATTATATTCATTGTAGAAAAAAAACTACTAAATCATATAGATTCGATTAAAGTTAAAATATTATGCCAAGAGCGAATTGCTTAAGTCGGGGGGACCCACATTCACCTGGTAACTTTAAAAGTGATAAAGGATTATATAGTTAATTGTGCACCCTTATAACTAAAAGTTGCCTGGGTGAATTGGTTGAAGTCGTCCACTTGCAGCACGACCTTAAAATAAGCTTTTTCTTTAGAGTTAAACCTTTTTAAAAATTGCTTTTATTAAAACTCGTTTTTGCCACCTCATCTAGCCCCACCCCCTTTCTTAACTTAAAACAAATAAAATCCCTACCACAATCCTAAACAAAATATAAGACTACTAGAAAATCTACAACTTGCACAATTCTAAACAAAATATAACACTGCTAGAAAATATTTAACCTACAAGTATTATTCACTACATAATTAAAGTCCTACTCCTTTATTTCTTTATAAATTGGTAAGTTCTTTATTTTAAGGTTTTTTTTTGTTAGAATTTGTTGTTGATTCTTGTGATTCTTGATGGATAGTGTCTTGTGATTTGAAATGGATAGACTTATGTAAAGAGAAATGCAGGTGATTTATTTCACAAAAACTGGTTTTAAAACTTGGAATCATAGTTTGGAACGATTCAATTTACAAGTTGGTGAAGTAAATAGCGTCCACAATAGGTGTTTCAACAAGATGCTTGTTTTGAGAGTCAATCTCAATCCATTCAAGTTGCTTTTAACAAGCAATCTAAGAAAACAAGAAGTGAGCATCGAATTCGTTTAAAGGCTTCTACTAATGTGGCAAGGTTTCTCTTGGAATTTCGATTTTCTTTTCGAGGTCATGATGAAAGTGAGTCTTCAAAAATAAAGGTCTTTTTTTAGGCTTTTTGGATTGGCTTGGAAAAATGCTTCTGGATATGAATAATGTTATTTTAATACATGCTCCAAAAAATGCTATGATGACTTCTCTAAAATATGTTAACGTTACCCTTGTGCCACTCCTAGCTTTACCGTTGGGTCACTCTTAGTAGTGCCCCACTATCTTCAAATCCAGGATTCGCCTCTAGCTTAATTGGTTAAGTACTTCCAATGCTCGAAGGGTTAGAGATGGGGCGAAATGGAAGGACAAAAGAATTCAAAACATTGTTATGGTCTTTTACTTTTTTGTGGCTTATGCATGCCTTTTCTTGTGTATCATGGAACTTTTGATTCATGATTTTTGTTGTTCAAAATAAATTAATTATTTTTTCGTTTATTTGTTTTTTCCTATACTCTCTGAGATAAGTTATTCTGTCTTAGATTTTTTTCCATATATTCTTTAAATATTTTTGAATTGTCAATCACGGTAACTTTTTCAGTTATATAAATTGTATTTTAAAAAATCTGATACATTAGTATTCCTATCGTGGAAGTTAAGATCCTCGTCTAGCCATTTAGGAAACTATTAAATTAGTGACGGTGCCAGAAAAGTTACACAAGTGAATATTAAGTTTAGAATTTAGATCGTAACCTAAAACAATTATTGAATGCAGAAATACTCTAAAATTTAATGATGGTAATATATAGGAAAAAGAAAAGCTAATATTTCTAAATTGACTGATGTCAGCAATGAAAGGTTCTGATCTTCACGTTGTCGATCTGCCTCTCTTAACTCTTCCAACTCGGGGAGTAGCTTCGACTTGTCTCCGTAATTTTTGATAAAATATAGTCTATCCTATGATAAGAATCCAATTGGGTATCTACCAGTATTTCCCTATACTAGTTTCACCTTGGTACCTAGAAGCTTTAGATCAATTTCACTACATGGATACCTACAAGACTCAAATAATTAGGATTCATAAAGACCAAAAAACTAGAAAGTCTAAGACAAAGGCGTGTTGTGTCTCTTCAACAATTATCACTCGTATTATGTTTCTAAAATCTGCAATAATCATCTGGGATTATCTCAAGGCAGAATACTCTGAGTTGCAGAAGATGGAATAGATGGATACATCAAGGGACAATAGAAAATAAAGTAATATTGAAAACCATATTTTGTGAAAACACAAAAGAAAATTAACAAAAGCAAATTCTACATCAGATAGGATATATATGACTCCGGGACCATGTTTGAAAAATCTGTCTATAATATCAAATAGGGCAATCACAAAAAGTTAATGTACAAAAAATACATCATTTTAATGTATGCTAAGCTCTTGCATTTCTATCATTAAATATAGATATGATGTTTCAATGACTATTTGTCAATTTGATTGTCTCTAAGAACGAAGGTCTATTGTTCACCTCATTAGCCCAACACTGCTCTACGAAGCTGACGAAATTGGTTGAAGTTAATAAAAACAGAATCAAGTAACATCATATGTCTACATAATTCCATTGCACGAGTGAATAAACAAGAATTCTTTAATGCCTTTCAGTGCAATAAATGATCTTTGCAAAGGATTCATAAAAAAATTGATAATTATGCAACAGCATTGCAGAAAATCCTTACTTTTGAAACTACTCAAAAGAGAGAGTAAGCAGAAAATTGAAATAGGTAAACAAAACAACACCTCCGACGCAGGTAAACTACACAACGAAAATAAATAGGAATTTGAAATCGTGCCATATTGAATCTAGCATCTCCTGTGTGAAGCAACTTAACTCTCGAGCTCGTCAAGCTAAAGATCTATATCCATTATAAGTTTACCACATATGTCAATAAGATTGCGGGTTGTATTACTGTTACTCAAATTTCTGTCATATTTCGAGTCAACATGATTCTTTGTTGAACCAGGAGGCACGACGTTGCGAGCCACTCTTTGACCAATCTCCAAAGATTAATTCTCCTTGTCATTTTCTGGAGATTGGTCAAACAGTGGCCCACAACGTCGTACCTCCTAGCTCAACAGAGAATCATGTTGACTCAGAATAGGATAGAAATTAGAGTAACACGAATACAACCCGGGATCTTATTGACATATGTGGTAATCTTATAACGAATATAGATCTTCAGCTTGACGAGCTTGAGAGTTAAGTTGCTTCACACAGGAGATGCTAGATATAATATGGTACGCTTTCAAATGCCTGTTGATTTCCCTTGTGTAGGTTAATTGCTCCAGAGTTGTCTTCTGGTTTACCTATTTCAATTTTCTGCTTACTCTCTCTTTTGAGTAGTTTCGACAGTAAGGATTTTCTACAATGCTTCTTGTTTACATCCCTACTTTATTCAAATAGGCCGAAACATCGTGGTGACTCAAAAATTAATTAATTAATTTAATGTTAAAAGAATTTTACGAATAAATGAATTTTAAAGAAGTCACCACCTAATTTTTAGAAAAAACTAGGAAACCAATTAAATGATCTTCGAAACCATTAGATTCTAGGTAAGGGTTCAAGTTATTCTGAAGGGAAGGTGCTAGGCATCTTTCGAAATCCACAATTGTGGGTCCCGGCTGAATTAATTTTTTCAAATTGAGAAAGAGATAAAATAGTATATGAGTATAACAAACATGCAATATACACAAGTAATAAAATAAAACAACAATATAATAAACGGCCTAAGGTTTGCCTAACATCGATAATATACACAATAACAAATAAAAAAAATAACTCAAACTCTATTCGATTAGTTTCAATGGGAAGCGACTCTGGTGTATCTGTAAAGACACTTAGTAAAAGTAATAGTGATAAATAAATATGAATAAAAATAAATAAAATAAAAAACAACTTAGAATAAAAATTTGTCTTATATAAATGGGAGGCCTTGGAAATCGACGGTTATTTCTTCATCGGCCAATTTTGACATATAATATATATAAACTTAAACTAAATTTCCATCTTTTAAAATGGGGAGGCCTCAAAAGCCGAAGGAAAGACTTTTTCATTGGCCAAAATTAACATATAAAAAATAAAAAATCATGCGAAAACTTATAGAAAGACAATATAATGTAAACTACAACCTTAAATTATAACAACATAATAAAGTAACAATAATAACAATTGATAATGAGTAGGGCAAAAAAATAGTAACAACTTATTTAAAGAAGAGTGTTACGACCCGATTTCAAAAACTAAGGTTTCGAAACCATTTAACAACTTTGGCAATTTTGATCATTTTTGAAAAAAATTATAATTTGGAAGTCGCCACTTAATTTTTTAGGAAAAATTAAGAAAACCATTTCAAAAAGGGATTTTGAAAGAAACAATTTAAATAAAACCAGAGTTGGGTAAGGTTTCAAATACTTTTCTAAGGAAGGGTTTAGACATCTTAGAGAATCCGCTAACACGCTGTTGACCGGCGGATAAACAAATTCGTCTAATTTTAAAAGATAGTTGAATTACTTGAAAAACTCTTGTTTTAGAAATATGCTTCAGAACTTAACAATTTATCCGAGTTAAGATTTTGAGCTAAATGGTTAACTCAATCTCATTAACGTGGATTCAAAGCTTTTCAATAACTATGAAAGAACATGAACGGTTCTTTAGTAATTCCATAAGCTTAAGTCGCCTAAAAATAAACTGTGTTGATAAATAATTAGGCGAACCATCCCCTTGGAAAGGAATTTGATAAAGGAAATTGATAAATAATGTTAACTCTTCTGAGGATTCATCCAAGTCAGTAAAAACATCAGAAAAATGTTAGCATTCATGATGAAAATAATACTGAGGAAATAAACATAAACGGTGGATTATAAAACTGAAATTTCCAGCCCATATTCGACCATTTTGGGGGGCTGAAATTGTTGCGAACTGCTGCCCCATTCCTTAAGGGTTTTAACCCAATCTTGCTCTTCATGTTTCAGCCTTTTGAGCTGCTGTTACTGTTGATTTTTGGGTTCTAACCCAGTAGGATATTATTTACTCTTTCTCGACTTCATGGAGGTTGACTCGAAGAGGATCAAATGCAAGAGAATGGGAGTCCAAATCGGACTCAAATAAGGAGAATTCATGCAAAGAAAACAAAGAAAACAAATTAGTAAATAATCAAGAAGAGGGCTGATACTAACTTGGCATGTAAACAAACTCAAACAACATTTAATAATTCAACTCAAATCTGCCCAACGAAATTAGAAGACAACGGAAACAGAGAAAACAATTAATTTCCAATTCTAACAAATTTCTTTCACATTCAAACCATGAAACAATGTAATCATAAATTACAGTTGCACATTTAAGCAAAAAAGAAGATCAGAAAATAGATAAGGGGACAGTTGATTATTTACCATCAAACTTAACAAAACCTTAGAAAGAGTTAAGGTAACCATTTAAGAAGAGCAAGAATACTGAACACACATATATAGCTATCTTAAGACGCTTCAGCACATAGAAAGTAAGAGAAGCAAATAAATTTGAAACATGAATTCATCCAGCATGAGTTACTGGGAAAATTTAACAAATTCCAACATTTCAAAGAAATGGAAAGTATTTAAGAGAGGCAGTAACCGGATCACAACAATAAATCTAATTTGAACTTGAAAGCATGTCTTTCCCAGATAACCGAAGCTACTAATCCAATCTAGAATGCAATCTTCATATCGAGCAAATGCATCCTATATCTTAAACTAGGAGGACAGATATATACTTAAAAGAAGGAATTTTAAAATCCAAAGACTCCAACAAGCTTAACCATTAATCATTGAATCAATCATATATTTGCAAGCTATCAAAATACTAAAATAGTAATAGGCACATATGCTGGGCTTGATAAGAGTGCAGACAACCAAATAATAAAGGCCAAAACTTAAAACTCAAAGAGGAATTTTACTACACAAGCTGAAATTTGCTCAAAAGTAATCAAATTAAAGCTAAACAGTAAACAACAAGGACTAAGGCCAAATAGTAAGCAGCAAACATAGCAAACAATCAGATTATGGCTTTCAAGATTAAGCTAAACAAAGAACCTAATTGGCTATCCAAAAGCTGGACCAAGATTTTAAAAATGCCATGTTGACCATATTGGAACAAAACCTTATACGAGCATGAAACTTACGTGAATCTATGGATTCACGACACACCCCCAATCCGAACTCGTAAATAAGAAAACCAAGTGAAGCTATAAGGATGTACATAATCATAGTTTAAGAATTCAAAATTGGAAAGATAAATAAGAAAAAAAAACCAAGCATTTTTCACTTTTTAACCCAAGCAGCAACTATACTTTAAGCAAGGTACAGGAAATTTATACTATTAAACTGATTAAATCTCAACCTGATAACTAATACACGATTAAGAACATCTAGACGACTAAGCTCAAGAACATACCAAACATGAACAATTTTGGACCACGGCGGGCCGACAACAGTTGAAACTCAAACACATAGGAAAGGGGAACTTAAACAAACTATGAACGGAAGAGGATAACTAGCTAAGAGGGTCATACACATATTAGGAGAAAGCTTAAAAAGTTTTATGAACACAATCTGATGGGCAGTAAGAAGATGAACCAAATAGAATGAAAAGTTTCAATATTCAAAGGACCATACGAAGATTAACGATGACCAAAGAAAGAACAAAACTCTAGATATTCATACTACTAATCAAAGCAAAAAGAAACCATCAAATTTAAGCTACTGGGGGACGTAATTAAACTGAAGAATACAAGAAAAGGAAAATAATTTCTAAACTAAAGCAACTAATGACCGAACAAAATTCTACATAACAGAAATTAGGCGAAAATAATAAGATGACACGAAGGTTACCTAGTTCTGGGCAACGACTGGAGCTCGAGCTTTGGAGGCAATGAACTTTACCACCAAAATGTGACTGGGACAATCGAGAGCAGATAAAATCTTAAACTACGAACTAAGAGCTCCCAAAACCTTTCCGGGGGTGCTCTCAATTCTTCAGCTCCCATAAACCGTCCAGTGAACAGTGAAAGGGGTGGGTTTATATAGTACCAAAATCTCCAAATTCTGAGAAAATGTTCGATGTGGGATTTTGAGAATTTTCAAAATCCCTTAACATATAAGGATTGCGAACTAGCTAGTGTACGAATTCGTACCATTTTGAAAGAAATCGGAAAAGAAAAAGGGAATTTGAGGGATAATACCGTTGGTGAACCTTCCTGGAAGCTTCAAATAGTACCAAGGCTCGTGCCTTGCACACAACGATGTACGAATTCTAGGGAGAGAAGAGTAAATTGAGGCTGCGAAAATTGGAAATTTGGGGAATTAAGGCTCGTTCTTGGTTTGCTGTGCTATGTGCGTATGTGAGGGAGAAGAGTACAGAGTACTGGGTATTAGGAAATGAAGTGGGTCGGGTTATTGATTTAAATTGGGCTTAAACTTGTAGGAAATTAAAAGGGATGAAGGAATCTGGTCCATGCTTCATTTTTATAAAAATTCAATTTGACTTCAATTAATTTAAATTTGATAAAATGGAAACGAGACAAATTATAAACTCAACTAATTACCTAAGCATCTTAACTTTAACAACACAAAATAATTATTTCGAAAAGATTTTAATTAATTTGCTATCACTTTTAAAGGAGATAGGATGCATACTTAATTAAAACTTTATTTTTTAGTAAAACTATTTTCTAAATATTTATTCAAAAAATGAAAATTATATAAATCTATATATTTTAAGTATATAGAGATATATTTTATAGGAAAAAGGAAAATTGTCTTGAAAAAATGATTTCTAAAGTATTTTTTATTTTTTTAAAATAATAACTTCAAATTGCCTGAAGCTTAAGAATCTTGAAAATTAATTAAATTGTGGAGGGCCAAAATTGGATGTCAACAAAGAACAAGTTAAAACAAACCAAAAAGTGTAACAAATAAAACAATGGCAAACAACCCAATAGCAATAATAGTAAATAATTTATTGTTTCTTTTTTCTAGCGAAAGAGACAATGTAAAGTAAATAAAATAAATCATCAGCAAAACAATGTAAAACTCACTAGAATAAAGTTTTCTATCAAAATAATTACTAAAATTTAGCAACTAATGCAAAAAATAATCATTAAATCAACAATAAAGCATTAACAAAGGTCATCGGACAACTAATAATAATCACTACAATTAACCCCAAAATAAATGTATCAGCAAACCAAAATCCAAAGTGATTACAATAATTAGATTTAAGATTATAACATATATGAGTATCAATCAATAATTAAAATAAAACTAAACTAAAGAAAGAAACTAACCACCGGAGGAGTTTTCTTATTTGTTAAAGTGTTGAAGCTTCGCTGGAGTTCATGGAGTTGGCAGGAAATGGATGTGTTGTTGTTGTTATTTGTTGATTTGCTGGTCTGGGAGCTCGAGAACTGGTTGTCGTTCACCATCGAGCCAAAGCACCAGTAAAAAAGAAGGAGAAAACGTGAAAGGGGAAGGGGAATGGGACTGGCGGCATTTGGTGGCTGTTTAGGCGATTTTCCGGTGAGGTTTTGGTTGGGAATGGAGGACGAAAAGGAAGTGGGTCGGGTAGCGATTTGGACATGGAGCTTCGTGGTTGAGCTTGGTTGTTTCTCACTAGAAAAATGAGAAAACAAAGGAAATATATGGAGGTCGCTTTCACTGGTGTTCCGGCAAGGTTTCGTCGGAAAATATGGAGAAGAGGGAGATAGGGATTGGAGTTCGTTTTGCTGCTGTTTCTGAATTTGTTTGGAGCTGCTTGTGGGTTATTGTTGGTGGGGGGTTTCTGGATGGCTTCGCCGGAAAAAGGAAATAAGGAGAGGGTGGGTCTGGATGATTTCTAGTGGTGTTTGTGGAGCTTGAAGCTCCTATGACGGTTTGGAGGTTTTGTGTGGTTGTTTTCGGTTGTTGTTGCTCCGTCGGAGGTTTGTTGACTGTTCGGAAATGAAGGTTGGGCGGCTGTTTGGTGTGGGTTGAGCTGCTGTTGGAGTGTTGCTTTCCGGTGGGGTTTTGAGGTGGTGTTCCAGTGGAGAAGAGGTGAGTAACAGGTGGTTTGGGTTGCTATTTTGAGCTGGGTGGTGGCGGCATCACTAGGAAGATAAATTAGTGTTTTTTACACTTTATGGAATTCTTCCTTCCAATCTAAAAAAACATTCACCACCCTTTAACTTAATGACTAACAAATAGGTTAAATAGAAAATTAAAAAACCACCTACATTGCAATACCATTATCTAAATATCATGGCCAAAATCACTAGTTAATAAAATATTTGTGTATGAAATTTTATCCATATTTGAATGAACTTCTAGACTGTGCACTAATAACATGTAAAAAAATGTAATTTAACAGAAGTAATGATTTAATCAAAATGAACAAATATTTGAACGTAGTCAACCAGTTGTGACAGAAAATAATGTAATTAAAATTTACTCATAAAAAATCCTGAAATTTTGACAATTAGGGATAAATATCGATAAATTTATTTAAAAAAAATTTAAAATGTATTTCGAATTATTGAATAAATAAAACTTAAAAGTTTCGAATTTTGAAATGTTAGGCCAAAATTGAGTGTTAACACTGCTCCATAGTAATCAAAAGTTTTATGAATCCTTTGCAAATATCATTTACTTGAATGAAAGGCATTAAAAAATTCTTGTTTAATCACTGGTGCAAAGGAATTATGTAGACTTATGATGTTAATTGATTCTATTTTTACTAATTTCAACCAATTCCTCGCAGGTTGGTAGAGTAGTGTTGGGCTAATTAGGTGAACAATAGACCTTCGTTCTTAGAGACACTCAAAAAAGTCAAATTGACAAATAGTCATTGGAACATCATATCTTTACTTAATGATCGAAATGCAAGAACTTAGGAGACATTATAATGAGGTATTTTGTGTACACTAGCTTAATCTGAATGCCCTATTCGATATTACAGACAAATTTTATATCTACCTATGTGATGTAGAATTATTTTTTGTCAATTTTCTATTGTTGCTTCACAAATATGGTTTTCAATATTATTCTATTTGCTATTGTTCCTTTATGGTTTCCAAATATTTCATCTTCCGCAACTCAAAGTATTCTGCCTTGAGATAATCCCAAATGATTCTTGTAGATTTTAGAGGCATAATACAAGTAAAAATTATTTAAGAGACATGACATGCCTTTGTCTTAGACATTGTAGTTGTTTGGTCTTTATGAATCCTAATTATTTGAGCCATGTGAGGTAATAAGGTAGTGAAATTGCTTAATAATCTTACTCGATTGCCTCCCAAAGATCTAAAGCTTCTAGATACCAAGGTGAAACTATTATAGGGAAAGATTGGTGGATACCCGATTAGATTCTTATCAAAGGATGACTTTATTGTAGCAAAAATTACAAAGACAAGTCGAAGCTCCTCGCTGAGTTGTTAGATTTAAGAAAGGCAAATCGACAACGTGCAAATCAAAACTTTTCATTGCTGACAGAAGTCAATTTCAAAATTTTAGCTCTTCTTTTCCCTATATTTTAGCATCATTAAATTTTAGTGTATTATCTGCATTCAATAATTTGTTTAGGTTACTATCCAAATTCTAAGCTTAATATTCACATGTGTAACTTTTCCGGCACCGTCACTTATTTAATCGTTTCTTCAATGGCTAGACAAGGATATTAAATTCCAAGATAAGAATATTAATGTCTCAGATTTTTTGAAAGTAAAATTTGAATATCTGGAAAAGTTATTGTGATTGACAATTCAAAAATATTTAAATATGAGTGTATCATTTAAAGTTTATCGTATTTTAATATAATTCTTTTACCAAATATTAAAAGTGTGTACATCCAAAGTGCAAAGTTGAATTACCATTTTACCCTATTTTATAAAATATCTAATTAATTAAATATTATTATTATTATAATTATTAAATTTATATTACTTAATGTCAACATACTATTTAATGGGAAGAGCTTTTAATTTTCTAGTTGAAAAGAATGTTTTTCACAGTTTAAGGCATTTCACTTCCAAAATAAATAACTTTGAATTTGCTTCAGTTACCTAAAAACATTTACAATGAATTATCTTAGCTAATCCATAAAATTATGCTGAATGATCCACTTATATAAATGGATTTATAAATTAACAATATGTACAACTCTCCCCATTAGAAGAAGTAGAGTAGGGTTGTTCAAAACCGAACTGAAACCGATAATTTAGGTATCGGGTCAATGGTTCGGGATTATGGTTTAACGGTTGAGGTCTCGATTTACTTTAAACTTCTTATCGGCTTATCGATTCTGGTCTAGGTTTGGCCATATTTCTAATCAGGGGACCCGATAACCCGATAAGAAGTTTAATTAATTATATTTATATCACTTAAGGCCTTAGGAACTTTTAGCCTTTAGGGTTTAACCTTCAGACTCTTTACAGTGACTTTATAGTTGACACTCAAATTTCACAATAATATTCCAAAGATGTGACATCTCTCATTGATTCACTGTCACTGCTCCCACGCTAGTGAGTTTTATTGAATATCATTCTCTAAGTGTCTAAATTGAGGTTCAAATAGTTGGTTTCCTTACTTTAAGTCTTTGTTTTTATAGTGAGTGAGACACTGAGATATGCCTGCAATAATTTAATACTACAATCTCAATGAGAAAGATTCTATTAGTAATGTTCTCATGATCATTAATGGTTTTCGTTAGTAGTGCTGTAATGGTTTCTCTTTATAGTTCATATCGAAATTGGTTTGGTTGTTATGAGGAATCCTTTTGAGTTTGCTAGTTTAGGCAATATTGACATCTCTTTCAAGGTTAATATGAATTTTTATCAAGTGTTTTATGTAGGAATTGACTAAAAGGTAGAAGTTCAACTGGATACTGCATATTTTCAATTCGTGATTAGTCCATTAGTAATTCTCAATGGAAATTGTGTGAACTGTTAGTAGTTTGTAAGATCCCGTACTTTTTCTCTAATCGTGCATAATATATGTGGCGTAGTATGGCATAGTTATATGAGGTGTATATGACTTTGTATCGTACATTGGAGATTAAGATTGCAAGTAGGTGGCAATAACAAGGAACTAAACTAAAGGTTTAGGTGAAAGGGACCCCTCAAACAAAGTTCATGATAAAAGAAATGGCTCGGGTAGAACTTCTCCCGTTTGAAAGGTTAAACTTGTCCCATACCTTGTGGATAAGCCTATGAGTGTAAAACATGTTAAGAATAGTGTGTTATGAGGTATTATAATAGCACAAGGGTCATATATTATGTTTTGAAGTCAAGAAAATTAGTGAAACTAAAGTGGGCAAAAGTTATCGAAGTTTCTCTAATAATATTTTCTTAACTTTGGGTCAAATGTCTTGGATGTTTTCTCCCAATATACAAAGATTTAGAAGGCCTATCACCCATTAAATCGAAGGCCTACAAGTCTAGTTTTCAATGCACAAAACCCCGTATCCAACCGACATCGGAGCAAAAAGTTATGAGGGTTTTACTACGGACTAACGGGGCAGAATCTGGGTCGGATCCGGGGCGGGTCAAAAATGTGTTATGTCGGCTTACTCAACGTTTTAAGCCATGAAAACATTTAATTTTACTTCCAAACCAGAAAGAAAGCTTAAGAGAAGGTTCCTATGGAGTACTTGCATGATGAAGGTCAGTT